CTATTTCGATGACATGCTGGTGTCAGCTACCAATAAAAACCAATTGGAAAGCCGCCTAAGGGAGGTGTTACAAAAACTCAAAGACTCTGGGCTAAAAGTCAAAAAAGAAAAATGTCAGCTGTGCACCGAAAAGGTCGAATTCCTGGGGTACCTCCTAGACCAGCACGGAATACACCCAACAGAGAAAAAGCTCAGAGCCATCAAAGAAGCCCCTAAACCAAGGAATAAGACAGAACTGCAGGCATTTCTTGGACTTATTAACTTTTATAATGTTTTTCTACCCCAAAAGGCGACTGCGGTGGAACCCTTGCATAGGCTGTTGGACAAAACAGCCACCTGGACCTGGGGGAAGCGGGTGGAAAACGCCTTCAAACAAACGAAAGACCTGCTAACATCAGACACAGTCCTCATCCAATACAGCGAGAACCTACAGCTGACGATAACATGCGACACGTCACCCTTCGGCATTGGAGCCATCCTCAGCCACACGCTTCCAGATGGAAAAGAAGCACCCATCGCCTTCTTTTCAAGAACACTATCCAAACCAGAAAGGAACTACAGCCAGCTGGACAAGGAGGCCCTTGCAGTCGTCACCGGCGTGAAGAGGTTCCATGAGTACCTCTACGGTAGGACCTTTACAATTATTACGGACCACAAGCCATTGTTAGGGATACTGGCAAGGCACAAGGCCACCCCGAACATACTGCCACCTAGAATGACAAGGTGGTCCGAGTTCCTTGCCGCCTACAGTTACCTGCTAACACATCGACCTGGAAAGAACATCTCGCATGCAGACGCATTGAGCCGCTCCCCCCTGCCCAACCTGGAGGATGACCCAGCACCCACAACATCAACCCTGCACATAAAGACATTACCCAACCCACCCCTGACCACGTCAGACATTGCCAGAGAGACTAATAAAGACAAACGGCTGGCATGAGTCTTAAGCTGGGTGGAAAAAGGGTGGCCGGAAAGCAATGGTGGCAAACTATTCAAACCCTTTTGCAACTGGCAAACTGAACTTTTTACGCAAAAAGGTTGCATACTTTGGGGGGACAGGGTTGTAATTCCAGAAACTCTACAAAAAAGAGTATTGTCTATGCTGCATGAGGGGCACCCGGGCATAGTCAGAAAGAAAGCCCTGGCCAGAAATTCAACATCGGTGATGCCGTCTATGCCAAAAATTTTACAGGGGACCCACTCTGGGTACCGGCTAAAATAACCCAGGTAATGGGCCCCCGGTCTTACCGGCTACAAACCAAAGACGGACGAAGCTGGAAGCGACAAATCGACCAGCTAAGGTCAAGAACAGCCACCAACAACAATGACAGCATGCAAACACCGCAAACAACCGCTAATAAAGAAACCAGGGGGGGGGGGGAAACCTCAAACAATAAAGGAGAAGAAAATCCTAAAGCGCAAACAGAGCACCCCCAAGCCAAAATAAGCCAGCAATACTCACCAGTAAACGACGAAACCGCAAGAGACAAACAACCGGGAGCTTCACCTGGAAGGAGCAGCCAAGCCAGTTTGACCAGCCCGGAAAGACCAGGCGGGAACAGCAGAATCGGCAGCTCAACCAACCTGGGTAGACCGGGTGGGAGCTACCACAGTAGGCCTGCCTCACCCTTCCAGGCGGTTCCATCCAGGAGAACCGGAGCGACAGGAAGTCCATCTGAACCGGTCGAGAACCAAGCAGCAACTGAGCCACACAGGTCAAATAGGCAGGTATGAAGCCCTGCCTACCTACGCAACTACGTAACCACGCTCTGTCGGACTGAACCAAGAGGGGAGGGGTGTTCTATATTAGCATTCTCCAAACACTGAATTCTGATTGGTCCACACGGACCACAACCCAATTGGTCACCTGAACAGCCGTGATTGGCGCACTAAGAATCAACCGCGATTGGCCGAGCCGATCGCGGGAGATTCAAAGTGCTGTCATTGGCCACCGAGCCGCGAGCAATCCTTATATGAAGGGCTGCCACAGCTCCAAGATCTTGTACAGGTCTTAACACTGAAATAAAGAGCTGAATGTACACTTGGTCTCGCGTCTCTATGGGAACCGATCTACCCGATCTAACAGAACAGCAGAGAAATCTTTATCCTGGACCGCACCAATCAGAATATCCTGGCCAATGCAACCCCCAGCATGCCTCCTCTGCCAGCATGGTGCAATCCCGATGGTCCTTCAAGTAGCCTGAAGGCCTTTAAAGGTAATTACCATCACCTTGAATTGCACCCGGAAACAAACTCAGCCAGTGCAGCTTGCAGAGCAGTGATGTTACCTGGGCCACCCTTGGGCCCCCCAAAACTACCTTCACCGTTGCACTCTGCACTTAGCTATAGCTTCCAATGCTCCTCAAGGATAGCCCCATATAGAGCACGTTGCAATAGTCCAACTGAGAGATGACTAGGGCTTGAATGACTGAGCACAGGGACTCCTGATCCAGGACCAGAGGTGGTATTCAGCAGGTTCTGACTAGTTCTGGAGAACCGGTAGCAGAAATTTTGACTAGTTCGGACAACCGGCAAATACCACCTCTGACTGGAGATTTTACATTATCCTTCTCTGCCACACCCACCAAGCCATGCCCACAGAACTGGTAGTAAAAAATTTTTGAATCCTGCCACTGTCCAGGAGATGCCATAATTGGTGCAACTGTCCAGGAGAAACCTCAAGTTGCAGATCTGATCCATCTGAGGTAGTGCCACCTCATTCAAAACTAAAAATATCAAAGTCCCAGATCTTGGACCCCTGTGCATCCAAAGCCATTTGGTCTTGCCAGGGTTGTCAAAGCCTGTTATTCCCCATCCAGGCCCCCACAGCCTCCAGACACTGTGGGAGAGAAGAAACAGCACTGCTTGGATCACCAGAGATGAAAATACAGACTTGGATATCGTCAGCATACTGCAAATACCACAATCCATGGCGATGCAAAAGTTCATTTATTTCAGTAATGCAACTTAAAAGGTGAAACTAATATATGAGATAGACTTTTTACATGCAAAGCAAGATAGTTCAAGCCGTGATGTGTCATAATTGAGATGATTATGGCTTACAGCTCATGAAAACCCCAAATCCACAATCTCAGAAAATTAGAATATTACATGTAATCAAGAAAACAAGGATTGTACATAGAACAATATCGGACCTCTGAAAAGTATAAGCATGCATATATACTCAGGACTTGGTTTGGGCCCCTTTTGCAGCAATTACTGCCTCAATGCAGCATGGCATGGAAGCTATCAGCCTATGGCACTGCTGAGGTGTTATGGAAGACCAGGATGCTTCAATAGCGACCTTGATTAACTAGTATTTTTCCAGTGCCTAAGGAATATACTACAGACTTCATCAAAAGTTTTGTGTAACTTTTCAAGAGCTCCTAACCAGTGGTGGGATTCAATTTTTTTTACTACCGGTTCTGTGGGCATGGCTTGGTGGGCATGGCAGGGGAAGGATACTGTAAAATCTCCAGTCAGAGGTGGTATTGGCTGGTTTTCCTAACTACTCAAAATTTCCACTATCGGTTCTCCAGAACTGGTCAGAACCTGCTGAATACCACTTCTGCTCCTAACCTATTTTAGGTTACTGTGAGAATGTCCTCACTTGGGTGGGTTAGCTTTTCTGATGAAGTTTGGTACTTTTGTTGGAGGCAGATATCTCTTGTTATTGACAAATTGCAGAAGCTCATATGGGGCACCCAAAGGGAGGATCAAAATCAGGGAAGATGGTGGGTATAACCATGCAATTGAAGGTCCGCCCCACACCTTAAATGTACACATGATGCATGTTTAAAAAGGACTTCTATCAATTGGTTGTGCTCACTAGCTTGACTTCTCTGATCCCTCCATGAACATCCCTGTCTTCTATCCATGTCATCCTTCCAAAGAGACTGAAGAATTTGAGGAACAGATTAAATATTTTCTCAGCTTTATTTAATATTGTTGTTTCTGTTAGGGAAGTTAGCAGGTATCTAACTTTGACTATTCTTTTCAAAAAATGTTAAGCAGGGTCAAGCTAGCTTATTGTTTGAATGGGTGTGTGCCAGGAAATCCAAGGATTGTAGGCTGCAGTAAGAAACCCCAAAACACCATAAGAAGACAAAGGCAAACTTCTTGGAGATTGTTGCTAAAAATCTGGCATGATAAATCAATCCAGATTTCAGACTTGACTCCTGGTGACTTCCTGGACTAAACCCTCCCGTTTTCTTGGCAACTTTTTCAGAAGTGGCTTTCTACTTTCTCCTTCCTGGGGCTGAGAGAAAATGATTGGCCCAAAGTCATCCAGCTGCCTCTGTACATAAGGCAGGACTAGAACACGGTGTCTTTTGGTCTGATGCTTAACTACTACTTCAAAACATCCTTTTTTATTACACTGTTTGGAAAATTTGAATTTCTTAAAAATGAGCAGGTCTTTTGAGTAATTTACCTATACATTTGAATTCAGGTAAGCATGTTTCAATAGGTCAAGGTCAAGGTCAAGATTTTGTGTATTCTATCCTGCTATGTGCCAATGGTGCTTTTCAAAAGCCAATTGGCTTTTCTTGGTTTTTTTTCCTTAAGAACATTTCACTTCTCATCCAAAAAGCTTCTGAACTGAATGAATAAAAGAAATTTCTTGGATGAGAAGTGAAATGTTTTCAAGGAAAAAGTCAAGAAAGTCCAGTTGGCTTTTGAAAAGAACCCTTGGGACAACCATGACCTGGATGATTGAGAATCTCACAGTCTTCTACCTTGCTATGTTTCGCACTCCACCCCACCGCCCCGCCTTGTGAGAAGGAAAGCCCACTGGGCATAGGTCTGAAAAATGTCACCATGAGCCCACCAGGTGGCCCTGTGGAGCCATCCACGGAGCCTGACAGAGCAGGGGGAGTTCCCAGGAAAAGTGGCAACTACCTTTAAGGTGAGCCTATCTGCTTGTAGCTGGCCCAACCCCTTTCAAGCTAGTAGCAAGCAGTTGATTGGGAGAGAACTGGTTTCACCACTTCTCTGCCGTACTCTTTCATCATAAGTCAGGGCCAGGTAGGTAGCTTTTGCAATGCAGGAATCTCCGTCAGTCCTTTGGCTCTGGTGAAAGTCTCTTATCAAGGGCACCAGGCGAGCACCTCAATGTCTCAGGCCTGTAGCAACCAAGCTGAGAGACTTGCCGAGTGACGAAACTGAGCCTCAGAGCCAGCCGGGTCTGGGAGCAGGATTGCCTCCACGGGAAATGGAGCTGAGATTCCTTGGCAGAAAAGCTGCTCTAGCTTTGGAGCTGTTTCTGTTCTCTGTTTCCTTTCTGCAAGAGATACCTGCTAAAGAAGGTAAGGGCAGCTGGGGAGAAGGGAAAGATACCCAGGGTTCAAAATTTGAGGGAGCTGCACAACTTCTTGGAATGTTGCAAGAGGGAAACTGAAAATGCCAAACAAAAGGAGAGCATACTCCACAAGGACATGCTACCTTGAAAAACCACACAAAGTTGCATTATGCACGAGTACTGAAGTTTGGGAAGGAGAAGTGGGGCATTTGGAAATGTGGTCCTCATATATTTTCCCACAAAGCCTGAATCTGCCCAATTGTACTTACTTAAAGTTTACTTGTCAGCAGGTTGGAATCAATTGCCGCATCCAGCGATCAGCCTGGATTTGCTGCTGTCTCAATGTATGAAACAGCCCTGGCTTTGGAAGACAATGAGGAACCTGACAAGAAAGTTGAATTAGTCATGCTCCATTTTTGCCCATTGTGAGGTTAACTACCCTGCTGAAAAGTGGGCCCTGGTACTTCCAATAGCTTGGAAATTTTTGCAGATGACACATGGTAGCCCTGGAACTCTAGATTTCAGGGAAGCTTTGGTTGGCTTCTGGATTTTAGGGTTCTTTTTCAAAGGATTTTTTTTAATGAATTATTGGGTAACTGAAATCTCTTGGTAAGCAAGCAATAATGTTATGAGTCAAATGAACTTTATAAGTTCATCACATTACAGTCCTAATGGAAACAGGAATCGGGCATCTTCCGCTTGGCTGTAGCAGGCAGGGTTGGGTTGTAACTCGTAATTTCTGTGTTGGAGTTGGTTCCCAAGTATACACTTCCCCTCCCCCTCCTGATACAGTACAATATGCATGTAATGTTTTTTTAATGATATCCGTAAGACTCATTAGACACATTGTTTATAATTAAGGAAGTAAAATTTGGCTTCTCTGAATTAGCTCTTGTGAAAAAATTACTAATACATTCTGTTAGCAGAACTTAAAAATATCTTTGCTGTCATAGACAAACTGGTAGCCCACGGGCCTGATACATCCTATGCAGGCCACATCACCCCAGTTCCACAAAGGCAAAAAAATATGTTGCACAAAGTCGTGATATGTCACGATCATCCAACCCGTGATGCAATCAAGTTCCACACCCATGTTGTAGAACATTAGTAAATTAAACAGTTCCTTCTTTGCAATGAATATACACTCCAATAAACAAACTTTAAATATTTCTGGTTGCCAAACCGGAACCTCAATTAGTGTTATTTAATGGCTGAGGGTGCTTCAGCCTCAGAGTTGTCCAACTTTGGTAACTTTAAGACATGTGGCTCCCCAGAATTCCCTAAATTATTTCAGTGTCCCTGCAAAGTTCCTTTCTGCCTAGCTTCTTATCCTTACTTGTGAGCATCTGACTTGTTTTCTGTAATAAGAACAGAGCTAATGGCTCTAAACTGGGATGGAAAATGTGCCTGTCTTGCAAATGGTCTACAAATGAATTGTGATGCTTTCTGCATTTGTGTAATGATGGGACACAGATAACTTTACATGCTGAAAAATTTGAGTCCTATTTGTTTGTTTCCTTGATTCCCCTAGCATAAACCAACTCAGACCTATTGGAGTGGCTCCCATAATGAAGTTAAATATTGTATTGGTTCAGTGATTTCGCACATAATAACTAGGAAAGGAAAGTGCAACATCTTAATAATAACCAATTCCACTAATCACCATGGCTGATTAGAATCTTTTTACTTAGAATATTTTAGCTTACCTAGTTTATGTGATTGGTTGAACTTGACACTGTAGCTTTAGGTAACCAGCAGAATGGACAGGAATGGCCTTTAACCTCCAATTATTGAAAGACTGACAATGACTAGGGTTGGAATCCTAGGTTTAAATATAGCAGCCAGTTATGAATGTCTGATATGAATGAATGAAAATATGCCACCATTAGATTCAAGATTGATAAGTTACATTTAAAAATTAAAACAGAGTTTAAAGTTCTGGTGCTTTCAATCATGTCTCATATTCCAGGATAACTTTTTCCACTATAACGCCTTTCTGTGCAGCCTCTGTTTCTGATTAGATGACATTTTCTCCTTACAGAACCTATGGTAGCCACAATGATGACACTGACAAATCATCAGTTTACAATATGACCTTTTATTTCTCCCAAATTTGAGGGCAATTGTCCTGAAACTCTTCATCTGGCCATAATTAAGAAAATGATATAATTTGAGGTGATGTTTTCTCTTGGCACCTGCATACCAACCTACCTGTAGCCACTTTGGCAAGGGTGTTACCTGCTCAGGAATTTAAGAAATTGAATTCCCTTGCTCACACCTAAAAGGTACCATGCGAGTAAAGGTACCATAGGGCCAGACCCCCCCCCCCAACTTCTTTCTGTCAACTTGAATGCTTCTCTCTCTCTAGTACCCATTCTTTGGTTTTAAATTTCATAGCACAAAAATAGAAAGGAACTAGATATTCTTCTTTTAAGAAAATAACTTGCATCTATTCATCATTTCAAAGCAGATTTGCTACTGTCCTCTTCCCGCACCTCCATCTGTCCAGAGCAGTCTTTATCCAATCAGTGTGTCATTCATCTCTTCTTGCCAACGTTTTACTCATTGTACAATTAGGTAAAAGTTTTCAAAAAATGTTCTTGTATCTAACTTTCCCCCATAGATCACAATTATAAGCATTTTTGAATGTAGCTTTCTGTAAGATAGACATTTTTATCTATAAGCCAAGAAATACAGGCATTAGCAAACTCTGAATTATGTGCCTACTTGTGCCATGATATGTTCTTCATTTCACAGAATGCATTGTTTCTCTTGGAGGGAATCCAGGATGAATTCTTTCACATTCTTAGCATATGAATTGCATAATTTAAGTTTTAGTTTCATTCCTAGCACTCATATCCAGTTACAAGAATTCTTATAGTAGGGCTGTGATCCAAACTTGTATCCACATGAATTGTTATAGTTAAGAGGCTGAATTTAAGATTTTTTTTCCCCCAGATTTGGAGTTTATAACTAACATTTTAGTCTTTAGAAATGTTGTTCAAAAATGTTAGCATTATTTTACTACAGTGACCCCCCTGTGTATATTTTTTTATTAAATTTGTATGCAACTTAACATATGAAGAAGTCACATGCAGTGAAAATATTAACTTTTCATATTCCTCTGCTGATGGTGTCTGAACTACTTAGGAAAATAAAGTTTAATTAAGTTTTTCTAATATATCTTTAACTAGAATGATCTATATCAGGGGTGTCAGACTGCTGGCCTGTGGGCCGGATGGATCATGTGCAGTTTCACGCCCATCCCAGCTCCACAAAGACAAAAACCATCACAATATGTCACGTGACGCGATCAAGTTTGACACCCGTGATCTATATTGTCATCTTAACAATCAAGCCTAGGGCAGACTATTGTATAGCTGCAAAGAAGGAGCCATGGAAGTATAACACTGAGATTATAGGTTAGTCTTAGGATGCCTCTTTATTATCTATGACATGTCATTGATGTATAGATATTCCAACCTTTTAAAAAAATTATGATTACCTTTGGTTTTCACAATAGGAAGACAAGATAGTCTTCACAGAGACCATGACAGCAGCTGAGAGGCTGGAGGGAATTAATACTTCTGCCATGCCTTCACAGCATTTTGTCACTTTAAAGTCTTCACTCCCTTGTAGAAATATTTCATGACTGAAATTCCTGGTGGAAAAGTGGATCTTAGAGAGGAATGATGAAGCCGGAAAGTTGTAGCAAAAATGAGAGCATATGCAAATAATATAATGATGACTTTATCCTGTTAATATTAATTTTTGAAGCTGTTTTTAAAATGTTTCAGGCCACAGAAAGGTACAAAGGTAGCACCATTAAAGCAGCTGCATTTTTTTTTCCTGGGATGGTGCATGGATACAACTGCCTTAAAGAGTTCCCTGGTGCCTCACAATCCCAGGAAAAGTTGCAGTTGCTTTAAAAGTTACTACATATGTAACCTCATGCACTCTAAAGCACTTTTTAAAAATACGGTGCAAAGCACTACACAGTTCTAATGAGACTGATTTTAAGGTTTTCTAGAATGTATAAAGATACTCTAAATTTATGTTGGAACTATGGAAAACAGTAATGGGTCATTTCATCATTCTTGGTAGACTTGCAAAAAAAGCTAGAAAATTTGGGGTTCAAATACATACAGTATACATACAGTAAATAAATAATTTTAAAAGTTAATTGAAACTCACCATGAACCATTGAGTCTTTCCACCTTGCCATGTTCTCATTCCAACTCCTGATCTGTCCCATTCCTTCCTCAATTTCCTTAATGCTTGGACTGTGTCAGCAGCTCAAAGGTGATATTGTTTTTGTGGAGCAAAGGGGAGGTGAGATGTTTCTCCTACCCCTTTTTGGTGCCAGGGAGAGGAGAGGAGAGAAGAGTGCTGGGTGTAGAAGAAAGAATCTAGAGCAGAGTTGACTTAAAGGGGGAAAGAGAAGATGGGGTAAGAACTAAGAAGTAAGCCAACAGTATGGGTTTGTCTTTCTTCATGGCCAATACAGCATGGAATATAAAGATGAGCCCTGAGAAAAGTCAACTAAATTTGCAAAGAGCTGTTTGCATGATTTCTAGACACAGCTATTCCATGGAATAGAAGGGTATAGAAGGCTGTAGAAGGGTGGTTCCTATTACAATGTTTAAAATATGTTTTATATGCCTCCCAAATTCAAGTTTGCAAACTCACTGCTGTTTAGAGATGGATTGGTTTGCTTTTGGGTACGCTGAGCATGCAGAGTCCCAAAACTGAACATGAGAATTCCATCCCTACAGGTCAAAAGGGAACAGAACGAAAGCAGGGGCTATGTTCTAAACCCCTAAAAACTCTCTTAAACACCAGGAAGCTTCTTGGATTTAAGGTTCATTCACACTCAGTCTTTTTACCCATGTAGCAGAACAAACAATTCAGTTATTTGTTGTCTGGACTTAAGACAAAATTGTCTATGACTGGACACATTTTATTTGACTTATAGAGGATTTTTTTTCCTTACAGCCTGTTAGCCAATCAAGTCTACTATTAGTGTAGATCCCTGAATTGGTCCTAATTAATTGAATTATTTCCTCTTGTTCCTTTTCATGCTTTTGCTAGCTTAAAATGAAATAGTAGCAACAGAGAGTTCGTTTTTAAATGCAGAAACTAAATGTTCGGTTGTTAATTTTTAAAAAAATTACTAAGATTTATGATGCATGAATCCCTGGAACTGCCTTGATTTTGAAAGATGTCAGATTATGAAATCTAATAAATCAACTGGTAATAGCCCCAATGAAATAGTTCCCTGCAAGCAAGGGAAGATGAGCTATCTAAGATTCATGGTTGTTATTTTTGTTTTGAATTTTAACCAAGTGACAAAGAAGAAGCTAAGAAGGGGAAGGGAAGAGATGGACATCCATGATCCAAACTTCATTTTCTTTGTTCCTTGGAATAGAACTAGCCCTGGCCCCTTGTTCACTGGAACAATGGGAAGAAACCTCCAAAAATGAAATGAAACAACAGCAAGAAAAGTATCAACGCTCTTTCCTTTCCCTTCCTTTCCCTTTCCTTCCTTCCGCCCTTCCTTCTTACCCCTCCTCTATAACTCCATAGAATATTCTGCAAATATTGATTCATCAGCTGCCAAATGCCATCAAGTGTTAGTTATAGTATTACAGCGCAGACTCATCAGATGTCAAATAACGAAGAATGGCTTTCTTTAACAGCTTAATTTTCTCAAGTTAACCAAGAAGATGACGGTTTCAAGCAACCTTTAGACCAATTTATTAAAAAGATATTTGATTAGTTCCTTTCAATTACAGATCTAGCTGTGGCTGGTAATTTGTACGTTAGTTAGCTTAAAGGAAATTTGGTTTCTTGGATGGATATCAAAAATGTGCTAGGCCCAAGCAAGTTGGATTCATAAATAGATCAACAGTTGACTAGTGTTAGATCTCTGGCAGAAAAACACATAGCATCTCCTGGCCAAAATTCTTTTATTCTCTCTCAAGGGAATTTGGGCTTAAATTTAGCATTACTTTCATTACTTCCAAGACTACTCTTTATCTAGAATCTGCTAAGAGTGAGACTACAATTTGAGTCAGCCTATATTTGTCACAAAAGGGCCTCATTAGGCCAGTAATTTTTTGTCCCAGATTTCCTTTCTCCAAAATTGGAGAACCCAAAACTCCTACACTTAGACTTCTATTGTTTCACTGTTCAAATGTCACTTCCCTTCTTCCTCTAAAAGATATATACCTGAAGAGATATATTATGTGCATTTATGAGTTAGCATTCCAGAATTTATTTTACTGATAATTTCAGTAAATCTAAAATAAAGGAGAATATTTATAACTCAGGGATGAAATGAGGGGTTACATTACTCTCAGAGACCACCAAGTACCCCTCGGTAAATTTAAAATAATGTTTTTTAAAAAAATAAGCATACGTTTGTATAAAAGGTTCATTAGAGGACAGCCCATGGAACAAAAGCAACCATCCAAAGATTTGGGAATCATGTGAGAATAATTTCAATTCAATATATTTATTAATGTTCTTTTTCTTGGGTTGCCTATAGAATGTATGCAGTTCTCAATTCATTCCTACTAGTGTTAAGGACATTGCTCTTTTTTTCTTATCAAAGTTGAAGAATTTCTTTCAGTTTCTTCACAGATATTTAAAGCTAAAGACTTACTCCAATTCTTAGGTGTCCTTAGATTGGTGGCTTAATTCAAATTTGGAATAAGATATGTCTTAATTTTTTTCCTCGTTACATTCTTGGGATGTCAAATGTATCCTTTTGTTGCCTTCATTTTAGAGGGTGGTTTTCTTTCTCTCAAATGTAGATCCATAGAGATCCCAACAGATGAGTGTAATTAAAAAAATATTAGAATGTGCAGAAATGGACAGATTAACACTTAAGGAAAAAGAAGAAACTGAATATTTTTTGACATGGGACTTATTTAACCAATGGTTAGATAATAAAAACAGTAATTAGAAATATGGGGATATAAAAACAACTAATGTTATACAGGAGATTTGTTAAAGTAGACAAGTAAAATATTATTGAATTAATATCATTGTGATGGATATTATTGTAAACATTTTGATTATGATTGTACCCAGACAACACACTATTTGATTGAAATTGAAATTTTACATGTTATATAAATAAAACAAATAAAAAATGGGGGGGGAATGTAGATCCATAGGGCTTGATAGCCATATTTCTCTTGTGGTAGGCACTGCATTATATTAGAGAAGAGAGCTACCATTGCCCTGACTTAAGCTCAGAATGGTCATGTTTAGGCCTTTGGTTTTGTTTCTTCTCTCTGCAGGAAAATTGCCAAACAGGAACCATTCATGATCTGTTTATCACAAAAATTGACTTATCACAAAAATATTCTGCGTGGCTCACAGACTTGTCCCAATTTCCATTGTACAGGTAGTCCTTGAGATATAACGCTAACTGAGCTGGGCAATGACAGTCGTAAATCATGTTAGTCATAAAACAAGTCACCATGTGACCATATCCGATTTTAAAACCTTTTTTTTTTTTGCGATGGTCATTAAGCGAATGTGATGATTGTTAGGAGAACATGGCAGTCATTAAGTGAACCTGGAGGTTATTAAGCAAATGTGATGGTCATTAAGTGAGTGCAACAGTTGTTAAGCAAACCCATTGTTCACTATGGGGCAGTTTTGGCTAGAAACTTAAAATAAACACCGGTTTCCGGAAAAACCATAGTGAATCACAGTCATTTAATCATAGGACACTGCAAAGAGGATCAATGTTTCAGTGCCCAATGTTTGAAGGGGCAACATCAGAACAACAAAGTCAGGTCATAAGTAGCTTTTGTGGGATCTGTTGTAAATTTGAACAATTACTAAGCATCCAGTCGTCATAGGTTGAGGATTTACCTCTAGCCCTTAATAATTGTTACCAAGGACAAGATAATTACTTGAACAACGTAAGCATATCCTTAATCTGCTATGCTTTTTGAAGCACCAGGTTGAGTTTTGTCCTTCTTGCCTTACTAATTACAACTCTTTTGGTTAATTTGCAGGTCTTTGGTTATATAATTACATTTTATTAACATGATCATTAGGTCTGCACAATCTACAATTGAGAATGTTACAGAAACAAATAGAACATAGAATCATAGGGCTGTAAGGGACTTTGGGGTTCTTCTAGTCCAATCCTTCACTCAAGGCAGGAGACTTTATCCCACACAAATGGCTGTCCAGTCTATTTTTGAAAACCTCCAATGATGAAGGATCCACAACTCCGGGAGGCAAGCTATTCCATTGATCAATCGTTCTTACTGACAAAAAATGTATCTTTGTCTCTACACTGGACCTCTCTTTAATAAGCTTCCACACATTTCTTCCTCTCCAGCCCTCTGGAACTTAAGACACATGTCATCTCTTAAAAGATCCTAAGGATCAAGCCGTCCAAACTCCTAGAGCTACATTTTCTTTCCAGGATTGCCTCTGAATAGCAGTCGATGGAAAACTCAAGCAGTAGGGTTATTTTGGCCCCATGTAAACCTTATGGACTTCCTTGAAAGCATCTCTTTGATCTCTGTTGAGAAGAGAACCCTGGATCATTGCAGGCCTTTGGGGTGAATTCTTCATTACTTGTTTCAGGCAAGGCTGATATGAATTTCAAGTTTTTGATGTCTGACTCAATTTTCTTTTCTTATTTTTCTTTTCAGTTAATCTTCTGGACACAAGCACCTCTCAGAATGAGCTAGGCTGGTTGCCAGACCCTCCAGATTCAGGGGTAAGTAGAAATCACAAAGACTAGAATGCAAACAATCTGTATTGTATTGCAGCAGTATGGAGCTGAATTTTCAGTGGCAGCTAGGAAATCTCTGCTAGAGATTAGCTGGTTTACTTAATGTCAAAGATAGATATCTAGCTGTCTGTGTGCTCTGTTGCTTGGATCCTAGAAAGGGCAAAGTAGCTAGAGAAGTCTGACATATGAGGGTCAATAGAAGCAGAAGCCTTGGGAAAGTTGAATAGGGATTGAAAAGACAGTAAAGGGTGTGATGTAGGGCTAGCCTGAAATTGTAAATGATTTTAAAAGGGGATACTCTAGAACAGTGGTTCTTAACCTGGGCGATAATGCCCCACAGGGGGCAATTTCATTTTTCAGGGGCGATGGAATGAAAAAGGGCGACGCAGGGGTGAAGGAATGGAAGGGGGCAATATGGGGGCAATGGAGTGAGAAGTTTTGGGGACACTTTTGAGACTTTTTTTGTACAGTGAACCGGTGTATATCTGTCGTACAAAAACATCAGATCGCTCGCTATTAGTGGATTGAACTGTGTTTTAAAATGTTCCTCCAGCTAGCTTCAGTACAGAATGCTGTACATATGTGAATACACACCTCTCATCTTCATGCGCGTTGCACAGTGGCCTCTATCACTCTACCCATTAAATTTGTCAGTCTGATTTTTGTTGCTTTCCTTCTGTAAAAAATTTTTGTGTGTCTTTTTAACCCTTTTTACAGTATGCATGAATATATATTTTCCTCAAATCTTAATTTAGTTTCAGAGTTTTCGTCTTGAAATTCTTAGTTCCTGCATTGCGGTTTGTTCTTACGCCCTTTTTCTTTTTGTATCTTAAAATTCACTCATAATTAAATCATTAAATGTTACTGTTTTTTTCGGGCATTTCATTTTCTTGCAGTTGAATTTTGTTTTCAGTGGTTGTTTTTAAGTGTCTTGAATAAATAAGATAATAATGAAATATTTGTATCACGAAGTTTGGGAGTAAAGTGATGGGTGGCATCAGAATTGTTCACACAGTTGAGATATGGGAAAAAGACAGGAAATAAATTATTTGCATCGATATGTCCTGATGACAATTTTAAAGAAATCAAAAAACGTGTTTGCATAAATTGAAGAATTATTTCCCTGTGTTGAGATTGAGAGGTTATTGGGGGGGCGGGGGATGATAACTTCCTCAATGGCTGAAGGGGGCGATTCTTTCAAAAAGGTTAAGAACCACTGATCTAGAAGAAAAACAAAGGCCAAGATTTAAAGGGGAAGAGACAAGTTGGAAGAATGGGCAGAAAGATTTATCTCTCACCAAGAATCTCCTGTTTTCTAACACTTCCTTTCAAAAGGCAATTTTATTTTTTTTTGCTGAATTTCACCTTATTGATTTCAGTGTAACTTTGTTAATGCACATTACTTTCTGTGTGATATTCTAATCTGTGAGATAATCCGTAGGTTGTTTCTTGGATAGATTTTGCTGATTTTCTGATACCTAGCCATTTCTTGTTCTTTTCCTTTTTTATTGTTTTACCTTTTTTTCTTTCTTTCTTTTTTGTTCCTTTCCTATCTAGCTTTGCTTGCTGGTTTATTTTTTATCTCATTTCAACAACAGGAGTGGGATATAAAGGCACAAGCCCATTTATGAACTATGTATTCACTGATCAAGCTTTACTGCTTGGTGCAAAATCTCTTATGTGACAATACTAAAGTTTCTAATTCCGCAGTGGGTCAACAGTATTTAAGACATTTTCCCAGATGAATCAAAATCTCCCCCCCCCCTCTCTCTCTCTTCTTTTATGCTTTGTGGAAGACTACCTTGCTGTACTTTGCAATTCTTTGGAATGCACTGTACATTTCAGTTGCCTCTGGGGAACTGTCACACATGTCAGTTTTTTTGATCTTCCTGTAGTGCTTTAAATATTCAGAATTTCTGCCATTGGCTGCCTATGGTTTATGTGAAAAGTTCTCCCTTCCCCCATCCATACAAAAGAATGTTTTGTTTTGTTTTCCATCTTAGGAAAATGAATGCCGCTTTACTGTTTTCGTGTTTTTATGAATTTAACAGTTTTATGTATTTAATAGTATTGTTTTTTAATGTTTTGAATTATTTTTGCTGTTCACTTTTTTTGTTGATTTGGTATCATTTTCTGCATGTTTAATTTTTTAAGTAGCCCTGAGGTACAGTTCGTGAAATGAGTGGCTGTATAAAAGGAAGGAAGGAAGGAAGGAAGGAAGGAAGGAAGGAAGGAAGGAAGGAAGGAAGGAAGGAAGGAAGGAAGGAAGGAAGGAAGGAAGGAAGGAGAAAAGGTCTACAGAGTTTCCTGAAATTATAATTCCAGAATTTCTAATTGATCAATCGGACATCTTTTACATTATCAATTTTCATTTTGTGATTATATACTGTTAACCATATCTATAATACAGTCAAATGCAAAATCATTAAAAACACTAAACAAGAAGCTTAAAATGTATTTCAATCCCCTTTCTACCTGTAGTCAGAAGAGGGCTTGGTCTTTTCAACAAGAAAATGTTCCATACAGTAGTAGCAGGTATACCATGGAAATGGTGGGACTAACTATTGATGCTAAATACATCTATAGCATATTTGTCCCACCCCTACAAAAGATGCCTTGCTGAATTCTAAGAGGGAGGCATTGATGCAACTCAATACTAATGGTCCTGCAAGCAAGTTGAGCCTTCTTTGTATCATCTATCAATGATCAGTACTTAGCACTAATGTGCAAGAGGAAGCTTCTGTTCTTATCCTACTTGTTCCCATCCTCTCTTATTTTTCTCAGGGAGGAAGAGGATCTATAAGGAACAATGAAAACTTTTGCTCCAATTTTCTTTTTTCCATTTAATCGTGTCTGAACCTAGGGCCAGATTTGGCCTTCACTGGACAAGTCTCTGCAGTTTTCTTGCCATGGTTTTTCAGAAGTGGCTTGCCATTGCCTGCTTCCCTGAGCTGAGACAAGCTGAGTGACCAGAGATCACACAGATGACTTTGTGCCCAAGGTGGAGCCTGAACTCGCAAACCCCTGGTTTCCAGTCTGATGGCTTGGTTCCTAAACCATACTGGCTCTCTTGCAGCAAGTACAGCCTCCTTCTGTTTGGATTAAAATTGTACCCTGATCCAAATCCTTTTTGCCCACTAATTCAGTCCTATTTTCTTTTTTTAAAAAGGCAGTTGCATTAGTGTTAACTTCTAAGTTACACCTGTTTCCCATCCAAAATAGGCAGTCTCAATATCTAAGAGGTTAGACTCGGAGCAAAAAAACTCAAGTTCTAGTCCACTCTTAATGATGGAAGCTCACTGAGTGTCCTTCCCCCTTTGTTATTCTTTCTCAGCCCAACCAACCTCACAGGCTTGTCATTCTGGAGGGGGAAAAAACAGGACTTAGATGCAAAGCATATTAAATAAAACTTATTTGCTAATTCCTAACTTAACATACTGGTAGTTGAGGCTTTTGTAATACTGACTAGGGGTGTCTACTAACATTCAATGTTTATTCTACATAGAGAGGCTATGTGACCTTTCTTTGCTTTTTGTGGCTAAATAAGATTATGATAGTCACCGTTTTTCTTAAATTGTATTTCCACAAAGCAAGGACACAAGATGAACTGAGGCCAAGATAAAGAGGACAAGGGATATGAACTTTGAGAAGAGGGAGAGCAATTTATGGTACTTTTGTCATTCAACCCACAAGGAATTATGTTTAGCATTGGTTAGAATTTAACACATTTTTCTCCCACTTTGGGGTCCCTTTTGACTAACTAATATAATACAATTGCCAATTAAGGCTAATGAACAGCAGAAAATGATAATAGACAAAAATTATTTACTCATTTATTTACAAAAGCTTGTAAGCTGCTCCAATTGAAGCTGAGCCTGAACAGCCTACAGTTTCCACCTTTGTAAATTCAGACTAAAAACAAAACATTAAATTTAGCAAATGAGACAAATCCATAGGGGGGAAATGTAAAAATTGGAAACATACAATCAGCATTCTATTCATTAGGCTTTCCTTCATCAGAAGGAGCAGTCATACTATTCTGGGTCCATGGTCAGATGCTCATGTTTTTATGGACTTCCTAAAAACCAATAGAGTTTGGCCATCCTGATGCCTGGGCAAAAAACTTCCAGATAAGGAGGGTACAATTGAAAATACTTCTACAAACTTTGCAGGTAACAGTCTCTAAAAAACTGGGAACCCCTGGTATAGGGAAAGGAAAAACCATCCCATTTTTGGGGTGCCACAAAGGAGCTAAGAAGAACTTTCTATATGACTTCCTATCTCAAAAAAAGGTTGTGGTTTTTTTTAAGTGTCCATTTTTTTTTTATTTAAAGGTGTCCTGAAAAAGGCATTTGCTGAGTGATCTTGTCCCGGGACAAATGAGGGTTGAAATATAATGACAGCATTTTGTGAAACAAATAGGCTGTCAAAGCTACACCTATACTTTCAGATTGGGTTATATTGCTGGTCGTTAAAGCCTTTTTCAAATAAAATTTAATTCCCTGCAGTTTTTTAAAAATAAACTTTATTAGTCTTTTATATCTTTAAAAACCAAACAAAAAATATTAATATTATGACATTAACAGTGTGTGACATCTATCTCATATACTTCTATTTTGTGCTTATTTACAAATATATAAAATTTATGCAAACATAAACCTTTAATCTATAAGTTGCTTATCATTAATTCTTCCATCATCCATCTGTCTTAATTCAATCCAATCATACCATCTTTTCCAAGTTCTATAATATTCAGACTTCTTTCTCTCGTAACATCAGGGTTAACATCCATCTCTTAATTCCCTGCAGTTTTGTGGACATATCTATGTAAAAAAAATTGGCAGCAATATAGAAATGATTTACTGATGTCCTCTTCTGGCATAACTTTTCAACTTTCCAACATTATAGCACTTGCTGGAGTTTCCGATTCAAGTATTAATCAGGCCTGGCCCTGCTTAGCTTCTGGGTCCAGAGAAGATTGACCA